TTTGAGACAGGGTCTCCTTGTAGCCCCAGCTGTCCTGGAACTCACTATGTAGACCAGGCTGGCCTCAAACTCACAAAGATCTGCCTTCCAAGTGCTGGGATTAAAGGCATGCACCACAACAATAAACAGCAGTATTATGAGAGGCTTTGTTATTTGAGGTTCTTCAGTTTGCACAGGCATCACAGTAGCCAACAAGCTGTTCTCTAAATCTTTTCACATTAATCTGAATCTGACACATTAATCAACCAAACCATGTGAGTGGAAACTGAGTATTTCCTAAGTTTCCTTACTGGTCAGGCCCTCTAGGAGTCTAGAGGGTTCTTTAGAGGACCTTACTGGCATGTGCATGAGCTACTCCCCTATCCTGTGAAGGTTCTGAATTCTTTAAGGATGATGTATATTTTCTGAACCCAGAAATTCACCGAGGTACCTCTTGTGTTCTTTTGCTCTGAAACATGTTAGGTGATAGATGTTGAGGATAAGTGTAGACTCAACGCAACACAGATGAGGACAGACCAATGCACAGCATCTCTGTTTTATTGATCTTTTGGGTTCCTCATTTGGGGCCCCGAGACTTTCTACTGAATAGTTCCCAAATTTCCCCTCTGGTTTCCTTTGGAAGGTGAGGCCTGAAAGGGGCTGAGTCTTAGTATCTTTAGCAATATCTGGAACCCTTTGTAGACTACTTCTTTTCTGGTGCCTAAATGCTGAAGTCTTGAAAAGATGTGTATTCAACATCACATTTATGACCCAGCAGCATTGTCTTGAGGGCTGTAGGTGCAAGCATTAGGTCTGCTGGCTAAAAATGCCTATGTTCATACAACATGGCATCAATCAGTACATCTACTTCCCATTCTTTAGGTGGGTGGTCAATGAGTTATGGGTAGCTCAGTGTAGGTCTTAGGAGGCTATTCCAGGTGGCTGGATCTCAAGGTTCTTGAGAGTGGACTGGCTTGTAAGTTTATGTAGAAAGCCATCAGTGTTGTGCCACATAAAAAAATTGACTATAAACTGAACTATTTCAATATGGAGCTGGATGGCTCAGCAGTTGAGCTCTTGCAGACTCACACACATGCACATATGCATGGCATATAGACACAGAGAACAGACTTAAAAATATTTTAGTATAAAACTAGAAATTTAAACTCTGAGAACCAGCGAATCCCTTTCCTTTCTCAGGCAAGATTATCTGGGTACCTGGCTACTGAAATTTCCCTTCAAGATTCTTTCCTTTGCTCAATAAATGACTCTATATGGCTTAGGGATAAAACCCCAGGGAATAACATTTCTGTTAACTATTCAATATCACATCCCTATGCAAATTCAATTGAGGGTCTAAGCATTCAATGGCCACATCCCTAAACGACAAGATATTTTGGCTTCTGGATGTCTCTTGATCCCCTCACTAATCCCCAGTAAATGGGAATCAGAGCAAGAGAACCTAAGAAAGCCAGGACCACTGAGATTTCACAATCCTTTCAGAGTCACAGAATCCAACTTGAGTCTACAGCATAATTCGGAGAAAGTCAGGGTGTTGGGAACCTTGAAAAGGAAACAGCTGCACATGCTGAAAGGAAACTGGAAGAGCCCCTGCTATTATTTTATCCAGTGTCCTCACTCGTGGAGTTGCTAGACCCAGAAGACTGTTCATCCCATTAGTGTGTCCTGGCATCCTCCCTAGGAATCTCAGCACTAACAGGTCATAGAGGAGCCACCTAGGGACTCCGTGGACAAAGACTCCAGTTGAGAGCCTACAAAACAGGTTCTAGTCAGCCAGCCACTGGGTCACAATTTCTGGTACTTCGTATTTTCCATCTTACTGCTGCCAGTGTAATGGCACACTATTGTGGTGGTCTTATTGCTGTTTTGTGCACTGTCCTGTAGATTGTTGTAATTTGGGATAGTCAAAAACTAATTCATTCTACAATACCTTTGCTCTAATGTGCTGCAGATATTTCCTTGCATTATCTTATTTCAGCTATCTGAAAGGTTACTAGGTACACACACTCCACATTACAATCTCCCAGTTTTTACTCAAGACCAACTTTTTTTTTCTTCATCTTTTTTTGAGACAGGGTCTCCCTGTAGCCTCACCTGGTCTGAAACTATGTAGACCAGGCTGGCCTTGAACTCAGAGATCCGCCTGCCTCTGCCTCCCAAGTGCTAGGACTACTGTGCGCCACCCTACCTGGCACTCAAGACCAACTTTAAAACTGTCATACATGAAAGTTCTCTTCAAATCTCAGTTATGTCAAAGTTTGATTGCTGAGTTGGAGGAAAATAGAAGCCTGATTCAATGTTGTCTTCACAAGTGTATAAAAATTCTCTACAGGTTCAGCCAATATAGTGCGTGCCCTCTAAGCATGAGGATGTGAACTCAGTTTCCAGAACCTGTGTTTAAAAGCCCAGGTGTGGTGGCATGCTGCTTATAATCCCAGCACTGAGGGGCCCCAGACAGATGGGTCCCAGAGCCTAGTCACCAAGCCCCAAGCCAAGAGATCCAGTCTCTTAAAAAAAAAGGAATTCTTTACAGGTCTCATCTTTAAGCAGAATTTTGCAGTCATACTTACCCAGTTAATCACTAGCAGAGTTTATTAAAATGTTTAACAGATTGGTTACAGCTTAATTCCAGTGTTAATCAGTAGCTACACACCACTATCTGTTTATGCCTGTTTATGCCTACCTGCTGACAGCAGTTTCTTTCCTTGACGTGCTTACCTTCACACACACAAGTTCCTAAAATATCTTTCAAGGTTTTAAAGCTTTTTATGTAGACTGAAACCAATCTTTCAAAACAATAAAATTTTATTTAAAAACATGATGCCCTAACCAAATACTTAGCAATATATAATAGGGACATATACAACTAGTGAGGCTAAAAAAGTAATCATTCCTCATGCGTTCTTTTTAATACCTTTCAAACCACTGACTAAATTGCAGTAATGAAAGAGTATTAGGAAGAGATCAATACCAAACACCCCTGTGCTCAAAGGTTCCACTGGCAGTGGTGGTGTTTTTGCCAAGATTTAGTCTTGCATTCCCCTACTTTTGATGTGATTTAAACAAATCCACTCCCAGGAGCCACTCCTGCATTTGCAACATCTGACACACACCTCTACCCTCTGGATACTACATTTCCTGGTGTTTATGTAACAGGGTCAAGACATTTAGAAACTGTGTCAAACCTTCCTGCTTTTCTGAATTTTCACTTGATTTCATTCCTTGCTCAAATAAGTAAAATACCTTAGCCATATTTATTTGGCCATCAATGTGAACCAACCTTAAGTAAATATGTTTTTAACGAAGTAATCATGCTTCAAGTTCAAGATCTACAGGAAGGTAGACAAGTCAAGATAAGGCTCTACCATCAGTCATAGGAATAAAACACACAGCAAAGGGTAGTGGTTAACTTGCAATATATTCATAGAAGGCAGTAAGACATTAGAAATGACATGTGGGAATCTGGGTATGTAAACTGACAGCCTTTTGAAAAACGTGGTTGAGCAGTGGCTATGGGCATTTAAAATGCCTGTATGATCTCGTCATCTCCACTTTTGGGACTCTAGTTGAAAAATACTTAGGACAGCCGGGTGTGGTGGCGCACCTTTAGTCCCAGCATTTGGGAGGCAGAGGCAGGCAGATCTCTGAGTTCAAGGCCAGCCTCGTCCACATAGTGAGTTCCAGGCCAGCTGGGGCTACAGGGAGACCTGTCTCAAAAAAGACCAAAAAGGAAAGAAAAATACTTGGGACAAGTTATACAACCAAAATACGGCCTAAAGATAGAATTCTTCAAACTGGCATCAATTTAATGTACAAGTGGAATTAAATTGACAGTCCAGGAATGGAGAGAGGACTCAGTTGTTAAAAGCATGCACTGCTCTGGCAGAGGACCCACATTCAGTTCCCAGCACCCACATGGTCACTAACAACCACCTATAACACCAGTTCCAGGGGATCCAATTCCTACTAGCATCCATGGGCACTGCACACAAATGGTGCACAACATACATGCAGACATAACACTCAAAAAAAAAAAAAAAAACCTTAAAGTTATAGCTCCATTCAATAGTACTAGTTCTCAAAGAGGTACAACCAGTTGCAAAGAAATCATCCCATGAGCTGTCTGGTAAAGCAGAAACACACTGAAAAGGCTTAATGAAGTTAAAGGCTACTTCAAAGGAGCTTGAACATACCTCATTTTCTATAAAAACCTATATAGATGTTTGAGAAACTATCAATGTAAAATGTCCAAACTATAATTTCTGCATGAAAAATATTTGGGCTTGAAAAGGTTC